ATGAAATCTTATTGTTAGTTCATAATAAATATTGTTTATCAACCAATTGTGCTTTTTAATGAAATATTTGAATATTCCTACATATACATAAGTATTTATTATAATATTCCGTTTGTTCATAATTTTCGAGATGAAAAAAATAATAAAAAACGATATGGTGCTTTTTGAAAAAAAAAAAAAAATGTCACGCGACGGACTCGAACCATCGATCTCATTACTGTCAGTCCCGAACGCTACCAATTAGGCCACGCTCCCAGTTGAACAATGTGTCACTTCTAGTGGATTTAGCTGTCAGGTAAAACTTCAAAATCGATTATCTCGGTAATTTATGAACGTTGCGTCGAACTACTTCGAAAAATTCTTATTCAAGGTCCAAACTACACATACCATATATATCAAAAATTACAAAAATCCGACTACCTTACCTTCTCCTTGTGAGTTAGCATGTTTTCCAAGCTTAATTTGAGATAGCATGTTGTCCAACTGAAATTTGAGAAAGCATGTTTTCCAACCGAAATCTGAGATAGCATGTTTTCGTACTAAAGCGTCGATATGGTATATTTAAAAAAAAATTTACAACTAAAACTAAATCATTTAGCGCAACATTTGGCAACTATTAGTTTGCCATGAAAGCCTGGCTTGCTATAGTTTTATAAATGGCTACATTTTTCAAGAAAACATGTTGGGGATTTTTTAAAATAAAATACCACCTTAGAACAGTTTTACATTTCCTAAAATTGTTGTGCATCAAATTTGAAAAAAAAAATCTATTTATTATTTTCCTTTGCTCCAATAAACCTTGAAGAAGTGCAAAATAGTGCTGGTGGTGCACATCTAGCATGCCATGAAATCAAAAATAGAACACCATAAAATTATTTTGTGTCCCCCAAAATAATAATTGTGCCTTTGAAAAAAGTATATCATACCAATGTATTTAAAATAAAATGTAAAATAAAATTTTGTGGTGCCATGAAATCAAAAACTGTGGGACTATAATTGTATCTCAAAAAGATAGTTGTGTACCAAATTTGAAGAAAAAATGACTAGTGTTATTAAATGACAAATAGTTATGTCATTAATAGAAAATTTATATTGTTAATACTATTAATCATATTTGTAGTTCTTGTTTTATACTTGTTTACTGATAAAACATTTCAACCATCGCATTAGATAATACTTTTTCACGGCTAACATAAGGCCACTGTTATTAACTTCATGGCATCCTAGATGCACATCATAAAGTTTTATTTCACATTTTTTTTTAGTTTATAGGCATGTAGAAACATAACCAATAGATATTTTTTCTTCAAATTGGAGAACATAGAAAAATCTTGCAATGTTATTTTTTCAGTCCCCAACAAGTTTTCTAAAAAACACGACCATATAAAAAATCATAACGTACCATGCATTAGTGGCAATAGGAAACTAATAGTTGCTAAACGATGACCTCTCAGAGCCCTACCCTGAATAAATAGACCCTTTTGTTTCCAGTGGCATACTTTTATTTAATGGGGTATTAAAACAAAAAACAAGACTCACTGTATATTTATAAGAACGTTTTTCCCTCAAATGACGTAAAGAATCACTTTTATTATTGCAACATACTTTCAGTACAAATTGAAAATTGTAGGTGTTAAGTTTGCTTCGTGTCGAAAGCCTAACTGTAGAAGGAATGATGTCTCGAAGTTTTGGAGAAGCTGATCATCAGAAAAATATGTCCGAAATAAAAAAACAATTGGAACAAGTGGAACAGGAGTTGGAAGAGTTATCTAGACAACAAATAAGCAGTTACTTGCAGCCTTTGGTGAAATTCTACGAAAGAGTCAGTGCTTTCTTACAAATAAGAAAGGAAGTTATGGTATATATTATGTTTATACATAGTTGTCATTATGTTGTCATCTAGTGTTTCATCGGTTCAATAAAAACAGGATATTTTTTTTCAGAACAGTGTTATGTCATCTCCGAAGGTTCAAAAGACATTAACTCCTGGAAGAATTTTGGTGGTAACACATAAAAATCACATTAATAAACTGGCACTCCTATTGCAAGTTATTAGTCGATCTAAGCAGCTCCAATACAAAGTACTTGTTTTGACCAACTCAGCGGGTACAAAAACTGAAGAATTGAAAGATGATTTATGGTATTACATGTTAGGTGTGGCACAGGACAAGTTATTTCTACCTATAGGTACACCGGGGCATGAAATGCTTACCGTATCGCCACAGGACATATTTGAAATATCTGCCAAAACTTTAAAAATAAATACGGAATACATTATTCAAGATATAGAAAAAAGACAAATGGAACGCTTTAAAGATAACGAACCAGGTCAAACTTGTGTACAAGCTGTGCAGGAAGTTCACAAATTGACACTACTAGCCAATAGTACCACCAGTTCCACGAATAAATTGGAATACTTGCATTATACCACCGACATAAAGGTTAACGATCCAGAGTTATACAGGAATATACTGGAAATGTATAGTTTAAAAGATAAAATCATCGATCATCTTCCTAGCACACAGATACCCAATTTTGAGCAGCAATTTGCAACTGTTTTTACTAGAAAGTTTCTAGAAGAAAAAAAGAAGAACCTAGAATTTAAATTGTCTAATGCCAGTTTATTGCTTTACCCTGATTATGAAAACAGAATTGCCTTGTTGAAACAATTGAACTATGTTGATAATCAAAATAGGGGTAAGTGGTCATTGTATGAATACTCAAATTATATAAAATGTTAAAGGAATGGTTGCTTTCATCTATAAAATTACTTGACATTAGGGGGATGACATATGAGACATATCTACAAAGTAAGAGTACTGAGATGCTAATGCTCTTTGGTTTTTGTTTTTGACAGTTGGCAACACTGCATTCAAAGCCAAGGTGCTGGGTGCAAAACAGCGCTTATTTGTCAGTCAGTTGAGAACTGTTGTTGTAGTGGCATGTTGAAATGAGTGATGTTATTCTTAATCCCGCCAGTTGCGAGGTGAGGAGTGTAATCCGGTTTCTTTTTGCAAAGGGATTAGGATTAGGATTTTTTAATGAAATCAAAACTGTTTATGGAGATGGTATGATGATTCGTACTAATGTGGTGTCGTAAATTTAAGCTGGTAGAACAAATGTTCATGATGAACAAAGGAGTGGGCATCCGTCAATTATGACTGATGATGAACAACTGTTTCCACAAATCTCCAGATCTCTTCTGTAAAAATCATTACTGAAACATTTGATTGTCAGAAATTATGTATGATGTAGCTACCAAAATAGTTCACAGGAATTTCTTGAGCACTTCAAACTGGAAGGTGAACAGTTCCTTAACTGGCGATGAAACATAGTGGCCCACTGCACCCTTGAGACGAAAAGACAATCAATGCAATGGTGACATCCACCTTCACCATCAGCGAAAAAATTCAAAACCATTATTTTAACCCAAAAAATAATGTTTTGGGACTGTAAAGGGATTCTTCTCATTGACTTTTTGTCCTAGATGGCAACAATTAATACTGTGCGGTACTGTGAAACCCTGAAAACATAACGGAGTGTGATACAGAACAAAAGAAGGAGAATGTTAACTAAGGAAGTGTGTTTGTTGCATGATAATTCATGTCCTCACACAGCCAACACCACAAAGCAACTCATGGAATTTTTTGATTAGAACATCATCAACCACCCCACTCACAACCCTGACCTGGCACCTTCTGATTTTCATTTTTGCTCTTATCTAAAGGTGTTTACCAACGGGGCGGTCCACAATCCTTTGAAACAATTGGCCCCAAAAGCTGTGATTTTTTTTTTTTTCTTTGGCGAGGGTATCAGAAAGCTCATACCTCGGCTGACAAAGTGCATTGAGGTTGAAGGTAACTACATCAAAAAATAGTGTTTGATGTGCCTTTCTGGATATGTAAATATACTGTCATTTCGATTTTAAGAAAATTCAGTACTCTTACTTTGTGGATATGGCTCGTAGTTTTTATTGTCATGTTCAACACTATTATCTTATTAGGTGTCAATTTCAACATTTTTGGGAGTTTCTCTTAGATATCAAGAATTTAGTATTTGAGAAAAACTGCATCTCAATTTTAATTTTTTCTATTTGTAACAATGTTGATTTTTGTAAAGGTTTTTATTCCGTTTTTTGTGTAGAATCTATTGACGTGATAGATTTGTAAAGAAAATTTTCAACAAATTTCAAAAATGTGTTGCATTTAACACAATACAGTTTTGTATTATAACTGAAAACCGAAAGTTATAGAAATACATCACTGGATTTTATGCAAAAAAAGAAAAATCTAAAATGTTGGAAAAAATATTCAACATCAGAAAAAAACGACAAAGATCGAAAAATGCTCTATATCTGTTAAATAAACCATATTATCGATTGCTCTTCAATTTCTCTCTAAAATCAAGTGCAATACAACTTAATCTATCTCCTTGGGAAAAAAATAGGTAATATTAATTGAATTATGAGAACTGAATATGTTGATTTGTTTAATAGATAAAAGATATTTTTCATTGTGTTTAAGAAATAATTTTTCATTTTTGGCCATTTTTGATGTCAAATAACATTTTTTTATTGATGAAAATATTTTGATTAGGTTTGTTTAATCAGGTTTTTTAAAGAATATCGTGTGTGTCTAGAACTCACAAAAATAATGGATATAAGCTATATACAATTTTTTTTCTAAAATGCTTTATTGAGGAGTTCCGAAATTTTAAATATTGATTATTTACTCCACTTGGAAAAAAGATATACTACTCCTGTGATTTTCCTGTAATGTGTTCCATTTTTGAGTTGCTGGATATAAAAAATAACATTTCTGGTACCGCATTATTGTATGAAAAATCAAATTAGTCGAAAACAGAACATTAAGGCAAAATTACCGAAAAAGTAATATCTTTTCTTCCAAATATTAAGTATAATCAAAATTAAATTTTTATATAAAATTATAGGTATAGAAATTCAACTGAAAATAAGTGAATTATCACCTATATAATTTTTGACTGATTACTGCAAATTCCCTTCCATGCTAAGAAAAATGTAATTTCAAATTTTTCGAAAAAGTGCTTTATGTAATATTTAAAATTTTTTTTTTGGAACTTGAATATCCTGTGTCCCCCCAACAAAGTATTTTAGAAAAAAAAATATATATATACGATTCACTCGCCCATTATTTTTGTGTGTCCTTGCAGATTGTTGGTTCATTTTTTTCAAAATTCAATACTGAATTTTATACAAAAAAGAACAACAAAAAAATCATTAAATTTCAAAAATTTCTACAAATAAAAATATTAATTAATGACAAAGAATTGCCAAAAATGAAAAATACTTTATCTTTTAAACAAATCAGTTTTCTTTTATAGACTTTTTAAGTCTATTTCATTGGAAAATACAATAAAAACCTTGAAAATGTTAGAATTGACCCAAACTGTACAGAGTGGGTTAAATTTTACACTTTTGGTTTTATAGTATATTACGTAGTAAGTGTTGTAAAAAGCATTTTACGCACGAATGGAAAAGTTACGCACGACGCCGTGTAGCGGCGATTGCGTAATTCTATGAGTGCGTAAATGCATTACACCACGTATTACGTACTATACTTTACCTACGACCACTACTGTAAATACTTAAAAACACACCGTCTGCGATCAATGCAAGATTCCTATTACGTCGTACGGTAAAAAAATCGCACAGCTTGGTAAAAAAATCGTACAGTTTTTCTAGCAACCGCCTAGCTACGGTCAATACAAACAATATTGTATTGATCGTTGCTATTCGGTTGCTAGGAAAACTGTACGATTTTTTTACCGTACGTAATAGGAATATTACATTGATTGCAGACAGTGCGTTTTTAAGTATTTACAGTAGTGGTCGTAGGTAAAATGATATATATATATATACTTATCAAACATTTATATTTACGAGTACATAAATTTTTTTTGTAAATCAATTGTTTCTTGATACAATTCTGTATCCATGTTTTGTTCATCGATATATCAAATGGGAGACTTAATTGTACAGATTATGAAACAGTTGAACAATAAAAAAAATATGTTTGGCACTTATTCCTTGGGAGAATTTTTTCGTGTAAGGTTCAAAAATACAAAACACAGGTTTGTGTTATAGCAAAAAGCTGGAAGTTGTAGAAAAATATTGCATACATCGCTGGACTCTGGAAGTAAAACTCCTCTTTAAAAAAAATAAAATATTTTCATAAAGAAAAATTTTAGGGGTATAAATAAAATATGGTTTTTATATGGCAAAACTGAAAACCACTCTGCAGTTTTTAAACAAATCAAGATTTTTTTTTGCCATTGAATTTTTCTTGAAAATCGATATCGTGACATTTAAAATATTTTTTTTTATCTTTTCGTGTAATTGAAAAAACATCCCAAAAGTGTAGAATTTACCCCCCTCTACAATCCATATTCTTTTATTATAGCATCGTGTACACAATTGTAGTACCCTTGCTAAGCTGTGTGATCAAGCTGATTATGATTAAACAGCAGAGCTTAATATTTCATGACCAACATAATATTTTTCAAATGCATTATCCACTCCACAAATTAAATAACCGTTTCAGATTTAGTCATACAATGTTGAAAACTCAATTTTTCAGTGCAACTAAAAGGTCGAGTGGCTTGTGAAATGGGAATGAATGAACTTCTCATCACAGAATTAGTATTAAGAAATATTTTGACTAAATTAAAACCTGCCGAAGTGGCTTCTCTTTTGTCAGCCTTAGTTTTTAAAGTGAAGTCAAGATTTGAAGTTCTGGAGGACATTAACCTTACGTATGATTTAAAAAAGGTTAGTGATAATTATGAAAATTAGCTTGAATGTGTAGTTCACCAGTTCATAGTTTTTAAAACGTGTAATATACAGGGTGTTGTAATATTCTGACAAAATTTTACTGACTGATTTACTTTGACCAAAAATAAGGAAGGTTTTTTATAAATGTAGGCCCACAAATACTTTACTTTTGAGATACAGGGTGAAACATTTTATTGTTTTCTCTACAGATTACTGTTTAAGCTTCTAGTGTGATCTTTTTTGAAAGGACTTTTTTTTTTGTTATTCTAATGACGGTGATATTTCATCAAAATACGATAATATTTGATCACATTTTTTCCATGTGCTCCATCTACTAGAAAATGCAGAAAACAACGGTATACGTTGAGAAAATTTAATTCTTTGAATGATTTTAAACCAAAAAGGTTATATAAATTACTAAAATCCCTCTGAAGGCATTTGATATTTGACAAAACTTAACGTTATGATTTATCTAAGGAAAAGTAAAAAGTAAAGTGGTGGAGAAACCGGCACTTACATTCATTAAAACCCCCGGAAATTCAACGCTACTGAATATTTATCACTACTTCTAAACTCATTTTATTTAAAAAAAACAAACCATTTTCTTTTATTTATTTAATTTATTACTTTTTTTTAACTTGATTAACGTTACCAAGCAATCCATTAACCCTAACATAAGTTTAGAACTACTTGTTTCGCAAACAAAAAGTTGATATGATTTTTTTTCTAAATATTAGAAATTTAAATACAATGTAATCACGAAAAGTTGAAGAAATTACTTGGTGCAATTTTTTTCCCGCTCATACCTGTACATCATCTAACAAGAATACAAAATTTCATGCCACTGATTTTTTTGTCATAATTTCTACCTATTAAAAAATTATCATGAATTTTTTTTTTGAAATTCGAATAGTTTATATTTTCCATTTTATAGTATTTGGTAATGTTAATAAAAATAAAAAAAAAGTTAATGAAAATAAAAAGATAAAATGAAAGATATCCATTTCATTAGGAACACTCAGTACAATCGATTTCTGAGATTTTCTGTAAGACCGACTCCTGGTACCTCCGCAATATGTATTTATATCTGAATTTAATTGATTTTTACCTTTAATTTGATATGTCATATAGCATATATTTCACTATTCTACATCACATGTCTGCAGAGATCTTTTACAAATGGTAAATTTGTGTCTCAAACACAAAACTTTTTGGCTTAAAATCACTCAAAGAATCACCCCTTAAAATTTGTCAACATATTTAACTAACACTCTGTATTATAAACTTCTTTTATTTTAATTTTGTTAGACTTTATATCTGCAGTTGAGGTAACGTCACTCAAAAGGTTGAAAAAAAAAGGTGATTTTCGGGAATTTTCAAGGAAAAATGGATACAAGATATACTGTCAGGAACAAAAAGGCTTTATTATACATGTTTTGTTGTATCGCTGGAAGAGTTTTTTATTAACAGATGATCTTGAAACAAAAAAAATCAAAAATATTTTGATATACTAAAAGCTAAGGAACATCATAGGGAAATAAAAATATTAATAATTATTGATTTGTGGACATTAAAAAAAAGTATAGAAAAAAGAAAATGTTTGCATTAAATTATTAATAACATAAATTATTAATCAATCGAAAAAACCCTACGATGTTCCCTTATTGTGAAGATCTGTACAAAATTTCAAGTCGATTCATTGAAAACTTTTACTGCAGGGTTATGTTTCTGGCCATTTAAAAAAAGTAGTTTCTCGAAAAACACTTAAAAGTTTTGATCTGAAATTTAATCTGGACCCTGTAATAGTTAATTATCGCGCACATTTTCACAAGTTTACAATAAGCACTCCTGCAGCACGCTGCAAGTGATTTCGCTCCATCTCGACAAAGCTTGTGTTCTCGATTTTTCCACCTCCTAAATATTTTTTCCTTTATTCTTCACATAGTAAAGTATTGTTATTCAACAAATATTTATCAATTATTTACCCATTACGACTAGTAAACTGAATATTTTGTTATGCCAATTAATGTGCCACTTCTAGATATTAAATTTCTAGGGCATAGCGGAAATTAAAGAAGTGCACAACGAACTAGCCAATTTAGAGCTTAGTATGGGGATTCAAACAGACGAATTTCAGGAAGACTTAAATTTTGGCATGGTTCACGTTGTCTATGAATGGGCTTCGAACAAGGTAATTTTATCCGATCTATCCCCTCTATCCCCGAGAGAGACATATTTATGTTATTGATATTTATAGCCATTTGCGGATATTATGCAACTCACCGACATACAAGAGGGCATAATCGTAAGGTGTATTCAACAACTGAATGAAACTATCTGTGATGTTCGAGATGCAGCCAGAATCATAGGTGATCCTGAACTGCAAACCAAGATGGAAGAGGCTTCCACTGCTATTAAAAGGGACATAGTTTTTGCTGCCAGTCTATATACTCATGAAGAAAATCTGTGAGACTAATTTAATTTTTTTAAATTCTTATTAAAACTGTCAAGTAATTAACGTTTTTTATTCATATTGCTAATAGTTTTGCTAATATCAGTTGCTGTTTTTAATGCTTACTGCTCTGATGACTTTACCTTTTAGATAACGTCATATTCTTCTGTGTTGAAAAGTATGGAATATATTCATTATTTTCAAAAGTTTCATGACAATTCCTTGGCAACGTCGATGTGTCTTTCAGACATTTTTTAATGTACTGTCATTTCTTCCATGTCATATATTATATTTTTTTCAAATAGAACTATAATTTTTTATCAGACTCTTGCATAATTTTCTGAATTCAGCAACATGCAATTACAGTACCTGATTTATTTCAGTTTCAGAGATAAAAAATAAAAAGATGATTTGTAGAAATATGTAATAGTTCTAAATTGGATTGGTTCTTTATTTTTAACATTATTATAACAAAACTGTTGCCATTATCTTGTAAACAGAAAATAAATAGAAACGTGTTAAACCTTTCTCACCTTACATTTTTCAATATTTCTGGAGTTATTAATTTTATTTCGCTCGGATAATCAAATAGATTTTATACCAGGTGTTTCAGAGTTGAAATGCCAAAAGCCTAGGGGAGATTCTGCTCAGCAAAATATGTAAAAAAGTTCATGAACATGAAGCTGCAAGTGCTTCCTTTCCGAGATAGTAATTTTTATGATTTATTAAAACAATTATCATACATCAACTGGACCAATTAGATTTGATCCAGAATTTCCAGGGACATACCGAGTGAGCAAGTCGTTTTTTTTTTGTAGAAAAGAATACCACCTTGTAGTTTTTTTGCGGTTTTTATGTAATATTCAGATAAACATACTAATGGGTTTATCTGGAAAAAACGACTTGCTCGCTGGGTATGCCCCTGAAAAACAACAGTTGTTCCAACTAAGTAGTCCCCTCAGAATTTATGTTTTATATTTTATTTGATATTTTTTCTGGTTCTGTCTACAATAAATAATCAATCTGTTTCGGTATAGTGTTTATTTATTATTTCATTAAACAAATCGTAAAAAAAATAATTACAAGGTAGCTTAAAATAAAGTAATAGTAATTATTGGTCTATAACCCACAATATGTTGACGCCAGCTCTTCCTAAGTTTACTCTTCCAAGCATGCCATGTTCCATCTTATTGACGTGATAGATAAAAAATAGAATGCTGTGGAAGAGATTGTTGTAGCCCTAAAATAAATATATAAATTTTACTTTATTTACTCTACTAAAAAAAAAAAAATTCAATAGTTTTGAAGTTGTATTTTTTATAACAGATTTTTAACTTCTAACACCCCTATTTTATTATATTAATGTATTTTTTTTTTATTTTAAGGATCTTAAAGAGTTTATCTTATATACTTTTTAAATACAACATTCTTACCTTAACCATTTCGTAAACTTTTTCGCCGACAACTACCCTGTAGTGTGGAGGTTTTTCAGATACCTGCTGTATGAAGAGACTGTTCGGTGCCAAAGGTGGCATCTTATCAGTAGCCTTTATGTAGTGATGTCCACTGAAGGGTTTTGTGTCAGGCATATTTGGTAAGGGCATAAGTTGTGTGTCTAAGTAAGAGGCTAGTAAATGCATTACAACCTGTAAAATACAAGATTTTATAATAATAATTTAAATATAAAAATTTAAAAAATTGAAAAGTACCCAGTTATTTTTAGATTCACAAGGAGAAGGTAAGGTAGTCGGATTTTTGTAATTTTTGATATTTATGGTACGTGTAGTTTGGACCTTGAATAAGACTTTTCCGAAGTAGTTCGACGCAACGTTCATAAATTACCGAGATAATCGATTTTGAAGTTTTACCTGGCAGCTAAATCCACTAGATGTGACACATTCTTCAACTGGGAGTGTGGCCTAATTGGTAGCGTTCGGGACTGACAGTTATGAGATCGCTGGTTCGAGTTCGTCGTGACATTTTTTTTTTTTTTTCAAAACGCACCATATGGTTTTTTATTATTTTTTTCATCTCGATAATTATGAACAAACATAATATTATAATAAATACTTATGTATAAGTAGGAATATTCTTCAAATATTTCATTAAAATGCACAATTGGTTGATAAACAATATTTATTATGAATTAACATAAGATTTCATTAAACAAAAAAACAAACAAAGTCAGGTAGGATATTCTTTTATTTTATATTTATGTTAGTATTTGACATTTTACACAGTGTGGCACGAGCCAGAATGGTAGCTATCATAAAAAATGGGATGTAGAAATTTTTTAAGCATCTAGCTTCCTTTCTATTTCTTTTTCTGGTCTCGAAAATTATGAACAAACGAAATATTATGAGAACTGTATGTAGGAATATTCTTCAAGTGTTTAATTAACTTTTTGAGCTAGGTTGTGTGGGTCATCCACCGTGTTTAAAAAAACCGCTTACAAAACACACCTGCTCGGGCATAAAAAGTTTCGGTAAATTTCACAAAGGGTAGAGAAGCATCGAAACTGTGTGATGAAAGAACAATCTTTCAAAATGTTAACGAAATTTGCTTCAACGTCGATATTTTGAAAACAAAATGCGCCTGTAAAAACATAACATTTACGCGACATACTAGATGCTTAAAAAATTTCCGCTTCCCATGTTTCTATGATAACTATCATTCTGGCTTATGCCATACTGCATAAAATGTCAAATACTAAAAATAAAATAAAAAACCTACCTACCTGACCTCGTTTGTTTTTTTTTTAAGAAACTTTATTGATAATAATAAATATTGTTTATCAACCAATTGTGCATTTTAATGAAATATTTGAAGAATATTCCTACATATACATAAGTATTTATTATAATATTTCGTTTGTTCATAATTTTCGAGATGAAAAAAATAATAAAAAACCATATGGTGCGTTTTGGAAAAAAAAAAATCATGCAACGGACTCGAACCACAGATCTTGTGATTGTCAGTCCCGTACGCTACCAATTAGGCCACACTCCCAGTTGAAGAATGTGTCACATCTAGTGGATTTAGCTGTCAGTAAAACTTCAAAATCGATTAACTCGGTAATTTATGAACGTTGCGTCGAACTACTTCGGAAAATTCTTATTCAAGGTCCAAACTACACATACCATAAATATCAAAAATTACAAAAATCCGACTACCTTACCTTCTCCTTGTCAGATAATTTTATACAGAGCAAACTTCGTTATTGTTAGTTTAAGTATAACTGAATATACTGAATTTTTTTATAGCTGAAAAATAGGGGCGACACAAAAATAGAAATATATCTTAAAAACTTTCCTTGTAAAACTGCTAGAAGGGATAAAACAAAAATAAAAACCTACAGACTAATAAAATGAAATCGGAAGTTGCAATCCAAGAAAAACAAAATTTTAGGCAAAAGAAGAAATGCTAAAAATGAAAGAAAAAGTGCTTGCTGTTGAAGAAAATTGTTGCTACTAATCTCAATTCCTCAAAGTTTATATTAATCATAGTATAATTCACGTACTGCACAATCTGTTGGCAACGAGTCATCCCAATCTTTTCCATTGTAACTGCTACCTCCATTCCATTTAAATTCACTCATACATCCACCCCTGGCAAGTTCTCTAATCCTCTTTTCTAAGTATTCTTGATTTGTTGTGACTTCCAAAAATGGGATTAAAGTTGCTAACGATGGAATAAACTGTGCTATGGGCACCATTTGAGCAGTTTTACGTAGTCTGTCCAGGCCGACTCTACCAATTTTTATGTCCGTCAAACCGTGCTTCTCCAGAGAATCATTGATCCGATCAAATTCTTCAACCAACCTTTCAAGTATCGTCTGCGATATCCACTGTGAATTATTTACATAACTGAATTGGTAAAAAAAAACAAAAACTATACTGTAGAATAAATAACTGGACATAGTTACTTACATTAAGAAATAAATTATTTTAAAATTACTACATACTTTTCTTAAGTTCTCGTTCCACTGTGTCAAAGCCACACTGTCTACGTTAATCCTAGTCCATACTTCTAGTGCCGTTACTTGGGCGGGGCTAGATGTCTTGTCTTCTACTTTACTACTTGGACTACTAGTTGCTGTCCTAGCTAAAAAAATATGTCTAATATTTTGAAAAATCTTTGTACTAGTTTGGAACTTTTCCAAAATTGGATACCTTGAATGACACAAAATTACACTTAATATTTAATAATTCATTTACCTCAAAAATAGTACATCCTAGTAACTAACATGTAGCATGTATATAGCAAGAATACATTTTTGTTAAAACATTTAGCACTGTCATGATGGCAAGTCAAATTTGAAGTAGCTTGGAAGAAAAAATTGGGAGCAAATTATCTCATCCATCTAGGTTTGCCAAATTTAGAAAGTTGAAGTCATAAAGGAAAATATAGACAAATGTGCCACAGGCAAAAATTTGGTATTTTTCAAAGTCAAGCTTTAAATTAGTAAAGTTAAGAACTCGATTTATCAAAAACTTTTTTGGATAATTGAAATTATTTAAATACTTTGTAAAACAAGTTTATTCTGCATAAAAAGTAATTCATCTTAGAAATACATAGGTACTTCAAAAAAAATAAAATAAAATAGAAAATGAAGATTAAAGAAAAATGTTTAATTTAATAAACAATGAAATAGAACAATGAAACAAAACAAACTTATTCAACATACTTACCTAATAAGCTTAAAGAAAAATAAAAGATAAAACTAATATAATTCGATTATAATTCTTAATTCAAGTATTTTTAGCCTTCTTGTTTTAAATTATTTTGTTTCTATTTGTGTCTTCTCAGTTACATTATGTTGTCATGCTGCTAGATAAATTTATTATGGTTAAAGTTTGCCGAAAAGCGGAAGTTTTGGAATGTCCTGCATGAGCTACTGTTGCTAGGGAAGGCTCCCGCTTAGATCTGGAGAATAGGTAATCCTACATTCATCCCCAAAATTCCCCGTTACATGTAAGAACCTGTAGCATATGCATACATTTGTGGGCAATCAAATGCTACAAGCTGCAGGCCGAATTTAAATGAGTACAATTTAGTCATTTTCTTTTTTTTTTTAAACGAAAATAATTCATTATTCATTTCATGAAAAGCAATACTTATTTACTATTCTCAAACAAGGATAAGGTAAGAAAAATATATTTAAAATAAGAGCTCCATTCCCACAAAAGAATGTTTTCTACGAAGACAAAGATTTTAACCATTTAATAGCTAAACTATTTATGATTTTTTGATTAACAATAACTTTATGTTATTACACCTGGTTATTTTCAAGGGCAATGAAGGACGAACAAAAAATAAAAAAATGAGCCGACATATTTTTAAATATATCATTCTTCTCTATAATAGCACCGGCACTTAATTTGATTCCAAATAATGCAGAGACAACTTGGTAGACAACAACTGCAAGTAGAAGTTTATGTTAAAATTCCATATTAACTATTATTTTCAATAAACTTTATAAGTATTGAACCTTCTTATTTTAACACCAATTTTCTGAACAGTGTTGAAATTTTAAATGCTTACATTACTTAAATTTTACTTTAATATTTTTCATTGTTTTGACCATGAAAATTATAAGAAAATGTTCCAAACCAAAACAAAAAACAGTAAATTACTTAAAAAAAATGTTTGGAATTTTTTGCAAATAAAAGAAACATTCCCATAGCACATATATCTAAAAACAACTAGTAAATATTTCAATAAGTGGGATTAAATTAATATAGAAATTTTCATTAAATATTTAATATGATAAAATAAATAAAGAACTTACTTGGGGAAGGAGTGGACAATTGATATTGACATTTTTTTAAAAATGATGACATATCCTTTGCAGTCTTTGAAACAGGATGGCTCCAAAATGAACTCAGTAGATTAGAAGACTGATGGGTTTTATTTGTTACTTTATCCACTTTCTGCGACTCTTCATGTTCCTTCAAATATTTTTGAAGAGAATTTTCATCTTTAATGAATTCTAAGGAAGAAGTATCACGGAATGAGAGTTTTGCTGGTGAAGGCTGTTTAGAGAAAGATTTGGGGGAAGTTTTATTGGAAAACTTAGATACGTTTACATCTGGTGTCCCTTTCAAGTAATTCCAAGAGGACGACATAGAGTAATTCATACCTAAAATAAATCAATAATAAAATTTTTCAACAGAATATTTGTCAACTTACTTTCATTTTGTGAAATGTTTGACTTCCAACTTAAGGCGCTTAAATTCATTGGTGTACTTGAATAAGATGTTACGGGACTGTCATCTGTAGTACTTTTAATTGATGTTTCGATTATTCTATAACTAGGATCTACAAAATACAAGTAAATAATTTATCAAAATGGATCATACTGCTGTTTCCAACCTGAATCTTTTATTCCAAGTAATTTCTTTTGCTCCAATGTAATGGCAATTGGTTCCGAACGCACAAGAGATGATTTAATAATTTTATAAAGATAATATAAAATATTGATTGTTAATATAAGAATCAATATATATTCTAAATAGTGGTAATAACTTAAATACAACGGACATGTTTGAGACCTGAAAATGCACATTGTAAATTTTATTTATAAAATATGCCCCTTATTCCTTATTCCAATATTAGAACTTGGCAGGTGAAGTACTCAATAATTTTTTTATTATAAGGAATTAAGCCAAATAAATTATATATCAATAAATGAACAACAGTTGTAAATTAGTAATTTAACATACAGGTCAAAAAGTAGAAGTGATAAAAGTCCAAAATTTATAGTGCCCCATGTGAAACTTTTCCGTAAGTTTCGTCGTTTCTGATTTACTATCATACTTCGCTCCAAAATGGGTAAGCCTGTCCCTCGAAGAATAGTATTATTTGGTCTAAAAAATGATTTTATGTAGAAAATATCTCATTGTTAGTTATCATTACTTACGTTTGATAATCCATAACTTAAGGGTTAATTAATTTTAAAAAATAAAATTAATCATTACTTATTTGAAAATGAAAAAATGTATAAAATGTTTAAATTTCTATGCATATTCTAACCTAAAAACCCCATCAGTTCCCGCAACCCACAATCATAAAATAAATAAACCGGAATGGCAAATAAAAAATTGGGCGTTTTGAATTATAAGCAGTGTTCCAATCGCTGATCCTAAAGATCATTCGATCACGTCAGTGGACAACTTAAAGCATATACTGCATAGACCACCTAGACTCAATGATTTGGGATCGAGGGGGATTATCCCTCTTTATCCTGCCTCATCTCGTGTAGGCCTGGACAGCCTTCGTAGGTGGGCCCCATCCGTCGTCTACCCCGACCGCGCGCCATTATTCTATGGCTAGAAATTGGCCTCAATGATTTGGGATCGAGGGGGATTATCCCTCTTTATCCTGCCTCATCTCGTGTAGGCCTGGACAGCCTTCGTAGGTGGGCCCCATCCGTCGTCTACCCCGACCGCAAATGCGGCCGGTGTAGGCGCTTTGTGGGACCTCCTTTTGTCCTGGCTGGGCCCCGCCGGCTAGGGCCCTTTCTTCTGGCGCTCTTCTTGCTTCGCCGGCTCGTCTGTGTAAACCCCGGGGGTAGTGTCATGTTTATGTGTGGTATGGTTGGGTAGGGTAGTGCGGCTATGCAGCCTGGGATGCGCTTTGCTAAGGTGGCCCTTAGGCTAGCGCGGGAGGG